AAAAAAAAAAAAATAGAATGAGTTGTTCAATTTTTTAAAAATTTGACAACAAAAAAGGAAAATGTAAAAATAAACTTTTTTTTTTCCCCGAATAGAATGAGTTGTTCAATTTTTTAAAGGGTGGTGACGAAATTCATCCTCGGGGTTAAAGTATTATCTTTCTTTAAAAAATACTTTGGTAGTTGCTTTTTATAAACACCCTCTATTTTTGCACAAAAAGAAACGTTATTTATTAGTTAAGTTTCAATATTTTAACAAAATGGGCATTTGGTTTAGTGGTATAATTCTCGCTTAGGGTGCGAGAGGTCYCGAGTTCAGTTCTCAGAATGCCTCTTCTTTTCTATTTATTTTGTATCGATTTTATTTTTCTAAAGATTCTAACAATAGTGCAAGTACCATATCCAAGAACTTTGTTCTTTTGCATTCCTCGCCGTCGCCAATGAAATCTGCACAGTTCAAACGAAAAAATTAAGAGTATTGTATCAAAAGAAAGCAAATGAAAAGAAAAAGTACGGTACATATCAATACATAACCGGGTTAACTCTTACAAAATGGGCATTTGGTCTACTGGTATGATTCTTGCTTTGCGTGCGAGAGGTCCCAAGTTCGATTCTCGGAATGCCCCTTCTTATTATACTTTTAAACATTTCCAAATTAAAACCACTGAATTTAATTCAATTATTCATACACTATCTTAACATTTTTATATTTCAAGAGAGAAATGATTGAGTGTGCGTGCACTACAACTAATACAATCGAAGAGAAACTTGATTAAAAATGAAAAATCAAGATCATGACATATATGAGACAGATCCATCAAATATATTAACAACAAACAGCTGGCAAGCTTCCCACCAAACAAAGTTGCAAAGTTTGACCCATTTTTCATATTTCCAATGTATAAAATAAAATAAAAAGAGACCTATTCATCACGTGAAACTCTAATTTCTCAACAGATTTGTCAGTGGAGTTGCAGAAGGACAGGCTATAGAATCATAGATAATAATATATTGAAGTGAATTGCTGGCATCTTCCATGGAAAAAACTACTCATGCAGGATCTTCTTTTGACTATTTTCAATTACAATTAAAAAAGAATAAAATCAATCAAAAGCGGGCATTTGGTCTAGTGGTATGATTCTCGCTTCGGGTGCGAGAGGTCCCGAGTTCGATTCTTGGAATGCCCCATTTTTTTTTCTAAAACATTTCCAAATTTAAGATACTGAATTCTATTAAATTATTCATACTATCTTCATATTTTACAGTTGAAGAGAAAAATGATCAAGGAGTATGTATGCAAAGGTACCAAGTATTCGGGCGACGAATTCTTGAGTAATCTGGATGCTCGTCTGTCATGTAGACTTCATAATTCTGGTAAGAAAATTTGACAAAAAATTTTCAGAGAGGCAACCACAATAGAGTTATTTAATAAAGGGACGTAGCTACTCTCCACCCCATTTCCATCAACCATTCAAAAGTAACTTTGCTAAGGACAGCCATTGATGTGTCTACAACATAAGATCGGATCTACATCTTAATATATTAATCAAAATTTGAAATCTTGTTTCTGGGCATTAGATCTAGTGGTAGATTCTCAAATTTGTGGCATTTGTGCTCGTTTAATTTCTAACTGTAATTTTCATATCAACCAAAAACTTAATTCTTGTATTCTGCTCACAATATATCCAACATTTTTGAGGGATATGTAAACATTTATATCTTACTTGTTACAAAGACAACGAAATAAATGGTATAGGCCAACTATTATTCAACTTGTAAGCTTACCAACTACCGTTGAAAAAGCAGCTCCACCAGCCACACATCCGCCAACTGCACATTAGTTGTCAACTGCACCACGGATCCAACATCAAGAAGATATTATTAGAATTGGAATTAAAAAGGTTAAATAAACTTGAAATATTCAAACAGGGCATTTGGTCTAGTGGTATGATTCTCACTTTGGGTGCGAGGAGGTCCCGAGTTTGATTCTTGGAATACCACACATTAGTTTTTTGTCTCTTACCAGATTCAAATTCAAACTTCCGAATTTTAGTACATAAGATCATTTTATAAGTCAAGAGAAGAATGCAAGGAAACAACCTAGATAAAAGACTAGGAGTATATAGACACCATTACCAAATGATGGAGGATGAATTTGTTTAAAAAAAAAAAATGATGGAGGATGAATGCTTGAATAAGCAGCCTGCCAGAATCGCACCGGTAAACTCATCCATATTTTGTCATGCATACTTATATTTCTGGAAAAAAAAAGGTGCAGATGATAGAGACAGGCACAAGATAGTTCATAAAACATGCTACCTCATTTCATCAACTATTCAAAAGCAATTTTACCAAGTCATTGACGTGTATACTACACAAGATCAGATATACATCTTCCATGCAGATTATATATATATATATATATATATATATATATATATATTTGACAGGTAATGCAAGATCAGATGTACATCTTAATGTGTCTTAATTAAAAATCGAAACCTTGCATTTGATAGAGGCAATAACAGCACATTTCATCAAGAGGTAAATTCTCAATTTTTGGTATGGGAGGTTCTAAATTCAATTCTTAGAATGCCTCATGAGCCATGTGCTCATTGACTTTCTATTCACAACTTTCAACAAAAAACTACACACAAGTCAGTTGTATCACGGATCCAACATCAAGAAGATATTATTATGGTTACAATAAAGTATTAAACGATCTAATAATATTCAAACAGGGCATTTGGTCTAGTGGTATGATTCTTGCTTTGGGTGCAAGAGGTCCCGAGTTCGATTCTCGGAATGCCCCATTATTTTTTTCTTTTACTAGATTCAAATTTAACTCTTTAATTATTCATAAGATTCTTATATTATATTCTTCAAGAGAAGAATGTATGTAAACAACCTAAATAAAAGACCAGGAGTGTATATGTATGGATACAAAATGGTGGAGGATGAATTGCCTGAATAAACAGCCAACCAGAATCCCACCTGGAAACTCATATTTCATGTGAATTTGTAATTCTGATGAGAAAATTTGATGATGAGTTTCAGATAGATGGGCACAAGATAATTACACCAAGCCAGGTTACTTTGCTAAGTACACCAAGTCATTGATGTGTATACAACAGAAGGATGAGATCTACGACTTAATATGTCATAATTTAAAATAAAATCTTGTATGCAAAAACAAGGGATTGGATCTAGTGGCAGATGCTCAATTTGGTGTGGGAAGGTTCTGAGTTCAATTCTTAGGATGCCTCTCGTCTGGTATGTGCTCGTTGACTCTCCATAATTTTCATTTCAACCAGACACTTCTTTCTTGTATGTTCACAAAATTCTCAACATTTTTTAGGGATAAGTAAAATATGAAATTTTGTTCATATATTTATACTCCTCAATAATGGCTGGTTAATAGACTATGAAATAAACGGTATAAACTAATTATAATTCCACCTATAAGCTTACCAACCGCCATTGAAAAGGCAGCTTCACCAACTACCCATTAGTCAATTGTATCACAGATCCAACATCAAGAAGCTATATTATCTGAAATTCAATGAACAAAATATGAAATGAATTTGATATTTTCAAATAGGGCATTTGGTCTAGTGGTATGATTCTTGCTTAGGGTGCAAGAGGTCCCGAGTTCAATTCTCGGAATGCCCCATCTATTTTTTATCATTTCAAAATTTAAACTTCAAATCTCATTCAATTATCCATATGATCTTTATGTTTTATAGTTCAATAGAAAAATGTAAGTAAACAACCTAAATAAGACACTATGAAAGATAGGAGTTTATGTTTATAGATACCAAATGATGGAGGATGAATGCTTCAATGAGTAGCCCAGCTAGAATCCCACCTGGATGCCCATCCATCATGATACGTGCATATTTCTGATAAAAACATTTGATAATGAGTTTCATAGAAACAAGTACAAGATAATTCATAAATCAAGGGAGGTAGATACGTATCCTACCTTATTTCCTCAACCGTTAAAAAGCATCTTTGCTAAGTACACGGTCATTAATGTGTATATAACACAAGATAGATCTGTACTAAAAAAAAAGAGAGAGATCTACATCATAATAAGTCTTAATTAAAAATTGAAATCTTGTATTTCATAAATGAAAAAATAAGGCATTAGATCTAGGGGTAGATTTTCAATTTGGTACGGGAGGTTTTGAGTTAAATTCTTAGAATGCCTCATGTGGCATGAGCTCATTCACTTTCTATTCACATTTTTGGTTAGGAACAAAAGCTACATATTAGTTGATGGTACCACGAATCCAGAATCAAGATTATTTGAACTGCGATAAATAATATTAAATGAATTCACTAAAATTAGTCAGGACATTTGGTCTAGTGGTATGATTCTCGTTTCAGGTGCGAGAGGTCCCAAGTTAAATTTGGAAATTTTATAGGGGCATTCCAAGAATTGAAGCTACCGAATTCTATTAAATCTATTAAATCATTCATATTCTCTCTATATTTTATAGTTCAAGAGGAAAATGATTGAGGTGTGTATATGCAAAGATACCAAATATTCGTTGTGAATTCCTGAATAAGCAGCCAGCCTGAGTCCCACCTGGATGCCCATCTGTCATGTATACTTCATAATTCTGGTAAGAAAAATTTACAAAAAATTTCAGAAAGCCAACCACAATAGAGTTCTTAAATAAAGGGAGGTAGCTACCCTCCACCTCATTTCCATCAACTATTCAAAAGTAACTTTGCTAAGGACAGCCATTGATGTGTCTACAACATAAGATCGGATCTACATCTTAATATA